CACTAAAAGCAGACGTAACGGCAACTGCAAGGATACTTCACATTCTCTTCAATAAGATTTGGGATGAGGAACAAGTACCAACAGACTGGAAAGAAGGACTTCTGATCAAAATACCGAAGAAAGGCGATCTCAGCAACTGTGATAACTACAGGGGCATCACTCTTCTCTCAATACCAGGAAGTGTCTTCAACAGAATATTGTTAAACAAGATGAAGGACTGCTTAGACGCCCAACTTCGTGACGAACAGGCAGGATTCCGTAAGGATAGATCGTGTACAGATCAAATCGCAACTCTACGGATCATTGTGGAATAATTGATTGAATGGAATCCATCACTCTACATCAACTTCATTGACTACGAAAAGGCATTTGATAGCGTGGACAGAACAACACTATGGAAGCTTCTTCGACACTACGGCGTGCCTCAGAAGATAGTCAATATCATACAGAATTGATATGATGGAATAAACTGCAAAATCGTGCATTGAGGACAGTTGACAAAGTCGTTCGAAGTGAAGACTGGTGTCAGGCAAGGTTGCTTACTCTCACCCTTTCTCTTTCTCCTGGTGATCGACTGGATCATGAGGACGTCAAAATCTGAAGGGAAACACGGGATACAATGAACATCTAGGATGCAGTTGGACGACCTAGACTTCGCAGATGATCTGGCGCTCCTATCCCAAATGCAACAACAAATGCAGGAGAAGACAAACAGTGTGGCACCAGCCTCAGCAGCAGTAGGTCTCAATATACACAAAGGGAAAAGCAAGATTCTCCGATACAGCACAGCATGCAGCAATCCAGTCACAATTGACGGAGAAGATTTGGAAGATGTAAAAACCTTTATATATTTGGGCAGTATCATTGATGAACATGGTTGATCTGATGCAGATGTGAAGGCGCGGATCGGTAAAGCAAGAACAGCATATTTACAACTGAGGAACATCTGGAACTCAAGCAACTGTCAACCAACACCAAGGTCAGGATTTTCAATACAAATGTCAAGACAGTTCTACTGTATGGGGCAGAAACCTGGAGAACAACGAAAGCCGTCATCCAGAAGATACGGGTGTTTATTAACAGTTGTCTATGCAAAATACGTCAGATCCGTTGGCCGGACACTATTAGCAACAACGTACTGTGGGAGAGAACAAACCAGATTCCAGCGGAGGAAGAAGTCAGGAAGAAGCGCTGGAAGTGGATAGGGCACACATTGAGGAAAGCACCCAACTGCATCACAAGACAAGCACTCACATGGAATCCTCAAGGCCAAAGGAGGAGAGGAAGACCAAAGAACACATTACTCCGGGAAAGGGAGATAGACATGAGAAAAATGAACAAGAATTGGATGGAAGTAGAAAAGTAGGCTCAGGACAGAGTGGGTTGGAGAATGCTGGTCGGCGGCCTCTACTCCATTGGGAGTAACAGGCGTAAGTAAGTAAATGATAGGTTGAGTGACAATGTAAGGCGGTCATAAATACTAACGTAATCACTCTCCCAATCGATCATCTCCTATCAAATGTACATTATTTGATTATTTATTGCTATCTATAAATACACAATAGTAGCACGTATTGGTCAAATGAAAGTCAAAATTCCGTTAAACGTATTTTGGTTTTACCCAAATCACATAATCAAGTTTCTCAGTATTTACTACTTCAAGCTAGAAAAAATGTATCCGCGAAGAATTTCGATCTCGTAAGCCCTCTCAATATGACCGTCACATCCACTGTCTTTCTTTTTGTGTGAAGATCAGGACGAATATTGGGCTTCGAATGGTGCAGTACATCATTACACACAGTTCACTGTGGAAACACTGACTTACCGGCTATTTTACGTTCAACCTTCATGCGAAATCTCGTAAGTTCCGATAAGCACGATTTACTTCTGACTGATATCTGACTTAACTCCGCCTGTAGCACTTATAGGGTTACTGCCAGTCCCAAGCCAGGGTAAAGGAGTAGGGTTGGGCATGGGGTTAGTGTCCCTATCTCGTAGAAAACTAACTCGCTAAAAAAACGCTTACCAGAAAAAATAATTCAAACCATTTTAACTCTGCCCTGGGAGTTAGAAGGTCTTCATTTAGAAGAATTATGACGCTTCATGGTGAAAGCCGAGTTCCTTCGGAAGCCACGAGGCCGATGCCCCTTCTAACAACCAGAGCAAAATTTTTATAGGTACATGGAACGTTCGAACAATGTGGGAAACCAGGAAGACCAATCAAATAGCAATGGAAATGAGGAGATACAACTTAGCAGTACTGGGAATCAGCGAAACCCACTGGACCCAAGCTGGACAGAAAAGGCTAGCTACGGGAGAGATGCTGCTATACTCCGGTCACGAAGAGGAAAATGCTCCACAGGCTCAGAGAGTCGCTCTTATGCTGTCCAAAGTAGCACGAAATGCACTTGTATGATGGGAATCACACGGATCCGGAATCATCAAAGCATCATTCAAAACAAAGAAGGAGGGGATCTTAATGAATATTATCCAATGTTATGCACCCACAAATGACGACATTAAAGACGACATTAAAGATCAGTTCTACGAGCGGCTGCAGTCAGTCATTGAGAAATGCCCAAGAAAGGACCTAACTATTCTGATGGGAGATCTAAATGCCAAAGTCGGAATAGACAACACTGGATATGAAAATATTATGGGACGACATGGAATGGGACAAAGAAACGAAAATGGAGAGAGATTTCCAAATCTATGTGCATTCAACAAATTGGTCATAGGAGGCACAATATTTCCACTTAAGCGTATACACAAGGCTACATGGATCTCACCGGACCACACTACAGAGAACCAAATAGATCACATTTACATCAACAAAAAATTCCGAAGGACAATGGAAGATGTGAGAACCAGGAGAGGTGCTGACGTAGCTTCAGATCACCACCTAGTTGTGGCCAATTTAAAACTGAAGCTAAAAAAGAACTGGACAAGTGGACAAACAGCACTACAAAGGTTCAATACAGCCTTCCTTCGAGATACTGACAAACTCAATGAATTCAAGATAGCTCTCAACAACAGGTTCCAAGCCTTACAAGATCTACTGAAAGAAGAAGAAACTAGTATGGAGGACAACTGGAAAGGCATCAAGAAAGCATTAACTTCAACGTGTCAAGAGGTTCTGAGTCTAAAGAAATACCGTCATAAGGAATTGATCTCTACAGAAACACTGGACAAGATCAAAGAAAGGAAGAACAAGAAGGCAGCAATAAACAACAACAGACATCGAAGAGGCACACACAAATCTTCCTATAGATGTCAACCCACCAACGACGGGAGAAATTAGGATGGCCGTCAGACAAATCAAAAACGGGGAAGCAGCAGGACCCGACAACATACCAGCTGAAGCACTGAAATCAGACATCGAAGCAACAACAAGCATGCCTTACCTTCTATTCAAAAAGATTTGGGAGGAGGAACAAGTGCCGATGAACTGGAAAGAAGGACACCTCGTCAAGATTCCAAAGAAAGGAGATCTGAGCAAATGTGAAAACTACAGAGGCATTACACTACTGTCAATACCAGGGAAGGTTTTCAACAGAGTGTTGCTGAACCGGATGAAAGATGCAGTAGACGCCCAACTTCGAGATCAACAAGCTGGATTCCGTAAGGATCGGTCGTGCACAGACCAAATTGCAGCACTAGGGATCATCGTCAAACAATCAGTTGAGTGGAACTCATCACTATACATCAACTTCATTTATTATGAAAAAGCATTCGACAGTGTGTATAGGAGGACATTATGGAAACTTCTTCGACACTACGGAGTTCCTGAGAAGATTTTCAACATTATCCGGAACTCATACGACGGACTACAGTGCAAAGTCGTGCATGGAGGACAGCTGACAGATGCATTCCAAGTAAGGACCGGAGTCAGACAAGGCTGTCTACTCTCTCCCTTCCTCTTTCTTCTGGTGGTCGACTGGATTATGAAGACCTCGACATCTGAAGGAAAACACGGAATACAATGGACAGCTCGAAATCAATTAGACGATTTGTACTTCGCAGATGACCTAGCCCTCCTATCTCATACACACGAACACATGCAGATGAAGACAGCCAGTGTAGCAGCAGTCTCTGCATCAGTAGGCCTCAGCGTACACAAGGGGAAAACCAAGGTCCTCAAATTTAAAGCGGAGAACAGCATTCCAATCACTCTTGATGGCGAAACTCTGGAAAATGTAGAATCCTTCACTTACCTAGGAAGGATCATCGATGAACAAGGAGGTTCAGATGCAGACGTAAAGGCAAGGATTGGCAAAGCAAGGACAGCATTCCTACAGTTAAAGAACATATGGAACTCAAAACAACTTTCAACCAATATCAAAGTGAGAATCTTCAATACCACTGTCAAGGCAGTTCTACTGTACGGAGCTGAAACTTGGAGAACTACAACAACCACCATCGAGAAAGTACAAGTATTTATAAATGGTTGTCTACGCAAGATACTCAACACCCACTGGCCGGATACCATCAGCAATAGCATTCTGTGGGAGAGAATAAACCAGCTTCCAGATGAAGAGGAAATTAGAAAAAGACGATGGAAATGGATAGGACATACATTACGCAAATTGTCAAACTGCATCATGAGGCAGGCGCTAACTTGGAATCCTGAAGGGAAGCGAAAAAGAGGAAGGCCAAAGAACACATTGCGTCGGATAATAGAAGCAGATATGAAAACGATGAATTACAACTGGACGGAGCTAGAAAGGATTGCCCAGGACAGGTTTGGATGGAGAATGCTGGTGAGCGGCCTATGCTCCCTCACGAGGAGTAACAGGCGTAAGTTAGTAAGAAGTAGTAAGATATCTGACTTATGATCAGATCAATACAGAAATCCAAAATCAATAAATTGAACGAGTAAGCCCATCAACAATGAAGATTCATGTGTCACATGTGTCTTGTTTGTCTATGAATCTGTGATAAATAAATGACCATTTCTTAAGGTCAGTAACGCTACTTGTTCATTACTTTTTTGTTTTAAGTGAAAAATACAAGCTATCCAGATGATTCACACTTTAAGAATACTGTGAATTACTACACATCTTGTATAGACAGTCCCAATGCAAGCATCCAAGTGATTGAAAACGAAGTAATTAAATTGATAATATCTCTATTCAACGGGTGGTACTTGACAACCGATTTTGAAAAAATTCCATTCATTGTCAAAAACAGTCTGCTGGAGGATAAAATATTCAGTCTTACGGGTTTACTTTTACCTTTGTTGCTTCAAAGTGGAAGTACATCTATATTTTCGCTAAAGCTAATAAAGGATGACAACCTACACATTCACGTGAGTTCCTTAGTTTTCCAAATTGAAATTATATTATTTGAAGGATTACTGGAAATAATTTAAATAACTGAGCATCTTTTTGTTTATTGAAGAAAACCCTTGATAAATTTCCATGGATTCTGATTTCGTCATAATGACATTTAGTCGTTTAGTCAATCGGTTAATTGATTTATGTTAGTGTGTTCTACTTATGTGTACTGGAATGCTAAATTTGCAAGACCAAATCAAATTCTTAGCACAAATTCATTGAGGCGTCATAATTTGTGTTGTGTGTGCATTTGAAAATGAAAATGCGACCAATTCAAATTTCTCCTCGTTTTGTCAACAGAACCTGTCGATGAAGATATTTACTTTATTCTGTCACATTTGAATGTGTCGAATAAATTAAGGTGCATGAGTTTGTTGAGATGAAAACAATTCTCTTTTTTCTATGTGTGTTTGGAGACATGACCAAACTTGTCATGAGATACAAACGACTGTAAAATACCACATGAATACATAAATTCACTACTTATGCTGCAGTGAAAATATTTTCGTAAAATTTTCATAATGATGGTTCATCGACGAAAAATCGTGTTTTCTTCTACGATGGATAGCATCATATTTACCCAATGTGTAAGTGAGAAATTACATCGCTCTGATCTGGTTCAAAGAGCATTAAGTCGATCAATCTGATTTAAATTTGGACAGTGGTAAAATGCACACGACTTTATGGTTCGTGTTTGGTGAAACAACACAGACAGATCGTAACTCAAGTAGTAAAGGCATCTGTAGACGTTTTTATAATGAAATGTTTATTTATGTTTGTATGAGTTACCGCAGTATCATGCAAAAATCTCACACTATTTAAAAAGTAATTCGTGCTCTTGTACTGAATAGTTTTAAAGATTGCTGTTGCATATCTCTCAACAGAATTTGATTTTTCCGAATGACAAATCTAATCTCACTTCATTCTAGTAACCACCACTTCACTCAATTTAAGTTATTAAGCTATATTCTATGTGATCACACTCTCAATGCTTAAATTATTTTTACTGTTTTCTACAACTACAACTCGATAAATCTGTGCAATTCGAGATAGAATGCTGTGTGCAGATAAACAAAAATCGAGTGATCCTTTGTATGAGTGAATCATCATTTATTTTCTAAATAGGGTCATATAATTTATCAAAGTAGGTTGTTTCTACTTTTCAAACAACAAAAGAAGTTTCTAATGGATACCATCTATTGAAATAAGTGTTTTCCAAGAAACATTTTAGTTGCATAAAATTTCATTTGGTTCCCGATGAAAAAAACAGGTATTTTGTTTTGCATTTCAGATTTCTCCAGGTTCACTAGAAGCCTTTGATGCTGTTACTTCTAGCGTGGTAAGATTAAACTATCACAAATTATTTTTATTACAATGATTGACAAAATGTCATCATCAGTTTATCCTTGACCAATTGTAACTTTTGATACAGAATATATAAAACAGAATGTGAAAAGTCGGTGAATTCTAGAATCAATTTTGTGATATCCTCAACAAATAAGTTATGTATACATCAGTGTACAAATTCCAATAATTACATGTCTGTTTTCTCGTATCTCAAATGAAACGATGTAAAATCTTTAAAATGGATAAGCACTTGAAAATGTGACAATAACAAGATAATAAATATGATCAAAAACTGACTGTTTAGATCAGGGAAATATTCCTATGACTTATCGTAAACCAAACTAAACGTTATGGGCAATCAGTATCACTGTTTGCAATTATCCTACTCATTCTTATGAAAGTACCATATTCTATCAATAAATAACATTTCATGGGATTGAAATTTTTTACGATTTTCTTTATTCTCAATTAACAGTCCGATGGTGAGAACACAAGTGAGGGTGAACAACTTTTCAAATATATGAAGAGAATTGGACCTCAAAAGGATAAGAAAAAATTCATACAAGAAGCTTTCGGCTTGCATTCTGAAATCAAAAGTGTGAGTAAAGTGATCATGATTACCTCACAACTATTCGAAATTATATTGTTATGCATTTTTTATACACTCCATTATTTTGTAGAAGATGGACGTAGTATTCAGTGATCAGTACACTCGTATTTCAGTCATGAGAATACAAGTATGAGGCCTTGGCAATCAAATAAAGTTTTAGCTACCCAGTAGTGTAAGAGCTTTTTTGGGTCGTAATAGGCAACTATCCAGAGATATAGCAGACGATAAATAACGTGACCAAACGTTTTATGTTATCGGCTGAACATCAATTCAAATAATAATGGACCTCTCTTTCTCGTGAATTTCATTGGAAATTAAAGCTTTCCTCAAATTATTTTTGCCAATGTGAACAAACCCTGTCCTGTGAACTTCATGTCTGCAACCTGTTTTATTACAAAAGATTACAGTGAATTAAAATAACCCATTGTGTCATTGAATAAGTACAAGAAAATTCAGCGAAGAAAATTTTCTTTTCGACGAAATCATTTACTTAAGCTGTACATTCGTATATGTAGTTATATGGAAAGTATATGTCTATAGGTGGATAAAAAAGATTGCATCATAAATTGACTCGAGACTAAATAACAAATGAAGCTACGTACTAGTTAAAGGGCAGGGAAGAAAATAACTTATGTGTCAGATAATAGTCCACTTGACAGACATGAAGGGAAACGACAAAGAAAAGGCTCATAATAATAAACTGAAAAATAATCACGAAACCTTGTATTAGGTAATAATAATAATAGCTGACTGGAGTTTAAAGTTGCAAAACAATAATTAAACGAATTCAATAATAGTCAAATAAAAGTGCAGAAAAAAACCCGAAACATACCAGTAAAGGGAATTAGGGTCAAGGAAGGATGAGAGGTTGGACGAATCGTTTCTGCATGCAAAGTGCTATTGCCTCAGAAGTGCATAAAATATTGATTCGACACCCTGTCGATCCAGTTCTATTGACTCTGTAGATTACTTTAAAAGAAGACTCCTTTGGAGCGATGGGTTCACAGTTGATTAAATGCCCCTGCATAGAACTAGTAATTGTTTTACATTTTCTTTTTAAAAGCCAAGCCGGATAGTTTTCTGAGGTGTGTTTGGAAAATGTTTGCTATAGACATATACATTCCATACAACTATATACATAAAAATGCACAGCTTAAGTAAATGATTTCGTTAAAAAGAAAATTTTCTTCGCTGAATTTTCTTTTCATTAGTCGATTACCGTATAGCAAAGCTAATATTATTGATACAAATACTTATCGTTTTCCTCCCACTGAACTCCATGTATATGCTTCAATTTGTAAAATTGCACACAAGAAAATCTATGATCTAAAAGTCTTCAAAATTTCACTATCATTATTGACAACATATTATAGTTCACTTACATAAATTGAAAATTTCAAAACACTACTGAATACTACGGAATACCTTGGCCAGATTGAAACAACTTATTGTGGATAAGCATCTGATAACATTGACGATACACAGATTTTATTGTAAAAGGAATGGAACAGTTGGAAACACTCGGATTTTGTTAAGATATATATTATGAAGTTTCTAATTGATTATAAACACTTATGCAACATGTTGTCATAACACTAATTTCTTTTCTTTAAAAAATGATAACTATGATGAAGGAACTAAACAGTGGTCGTGATCTAGTTCCGAAATCCCTAGTAACACTCACTCAATAAACTAAATCAGATAATTGACTGTGATTAGATTTCGCCTTTATATTTATTACAGGTAATACAACCATCTGGTTCTGATTCAGTAGTCACAATTGAGAAATTAACGGAAATCTGTCCCGTGGTGAGTTGACGATCAAACTATTTTTAAAATATCACTTACATGCAAAGCACATTTCTCATTCCAATCACTAAATGAATGTTAGATTCGTCAATGTGAACGTTTACTTAAGATTAGTTGACTATTAACCTACATAAATTCTCTAATCATAAAACTAAGAAAAGAATTCATTCATTCCTTCAGCGACTTACTGTTATCGTCACCTCGAAGCAGGATTATTGTGACCTTTATTGGTGACAAAACAACAGTTTTCACCATAACCCGTCACTATCAATGTTGTAACGATGTAATGTCATGATTTTATTGGTCACTACCACATGTATAGCACTACATATACTTTGATGCTATGCATTTATTTGCATATCTCGAAGCACAAATACTTACCTAATTACTTACACCTGTTACTCCCAGTGGAGCATAGACCACCGACCATGGACACAAATAACCCTTACCCAATCCCACAATATTTTCCTCGATCCAGCGACAGGTTTCTCGCCAAAGTGTTGAGTACGCTCACATCTTAAGCTTCAGAGAATAAGTAATAAAATTATTATTATCTGCCACAACTGGAAGAATCAAAATGGTTTTGATGTTGCATGTATCTGAGTGAAGTAAATCATTGATCGTGGGCTAACTTTACCAAATAACACGAATTAAAACTGAAAATCAATTGTCACCTTCATCATATTGTCACCCACTAAGCCCGAAACGCCGTCTATGATGATGCTGCACTCAGAAATGCCCCGTTTGTAAAACCATAACAAATTAAACGAAGCTGATTACATGCATGCTGGAAATGTGTTATTAAAATATAAATCTGTCTATCTGAAGACGGTTGGAATCTAAATCCATCTGCTTGCTGAACTAAATGTCTCAGAATGGAAAATCAGGTCAGTCGAATTCACAGTATCCACAAAAGTACATTTTCAATGTATCAATGGACTATTGTCTTACCATTTGTTAATACTCAGAATTAGAATTTAGGTGGACATAATGTATGCGTTTACATCAACAAATGTTTGTTACTACTTAGTTACCCATAAATCAAACTCGTAGATCTGATAAACGCTTTGTCTGTTGTTCAAAATGGTGTCTCAATTTCATCAAAGTCAACTTTTTTCAAAACTATTATGAATAAAAATTATACATTCAAACTTCATACAAAATTATCTTTCAACGATAATGCAGTTACTAAGAACCGTATAGTGTTGTTTGCGTTCATTGTAGACAACAAAATATATGACAACTACCGATCACGATTAGCTGAGAGACACTGATCATGTGTAGGGAATCGATTTCTGACATAACCCATTTACTGTCTTCGTAAATGTATTTCAACTTGTTATTTGTTTTGATCAGATTGATTGGAACCTTTTATTTGAGAGTGTATTCAATGAAATTAAGTATGATTCATACAAGAATCTGAAAATTATTGTCTATAATGAAGATTCGTTGAAGAGGATTTGTGATAAACACACGCAGTTTATGAATACAGAACAAGGAAGAAGGTAATTTCCTTTCATTATTGAATGCTACGCTTTTAGAAACGATTTGTTCTGACAAAATCCTTGTTGTTAATATTCATTTTCACACCGTTTTTCTCATTTATTGATGTGGTATTCAGAACAATTCAATCCAGGAAGTGAACATTACATAAGTTGCTAAGCTACTACATGTATTTCAATTCCAACAAAATCCACCTAATGTTTATTGACATCAAATTGCAAAGCGATTCCTTTCACACCGTTTCATTGTTGAATATTATCGCTATGGAAAAACGACTTTTCCTTATTCGACAGTAAGTACTCTTAATTCATCAAATAATCAGACACGTAGGTATGATTACAAATACGATTTTTGAAAGTCAAAATCAGTTCATATTTAGACCCTGAGTTCGATTCGATGTTAGATCATAGACATAAAATAGGAAAGTTTGGTTCAAGGAAGAGTTCTCTTTTGGGCAAATTCATTTTGCAAGCTGTTCAATCGCAAATATTAACTCATCTTTCGCAGTGACACTACTTACAATAAGAGTGATAATAAGATTCTGTGAAACACGATAACAGGGAAGTGGAATAAGCAAAGAAATTAAAACGTTATTTGTTTCAAGGAAAGTAATCATAAGTCTGTGATTAAGAACCCGGATATCCATTAGAAAGACAGATAGAGAAATAATTTTGACTGTTTGGTTAATCACTTATCGATTTATTAGCTGCAGTCATTTGTATCGGTTGTCGCACTTGTGGGAATATGGACAGCGGTCATTCTGTGAATTCTTTTCCATATCTAAGTAATCTTCATTCATGATAACTTATTTTTCTAGTCTTACAAACTTCGACTAATGTTAGTTCTGTACAAATCGTCTCCTCGTTATTGTCAGATCATATAACTACCACTTTTTTTCCATTATTTATCAATAACTAATCATTATTTATTAAAATTTACTCTCAAAGAAATTTACACTCGATGACAGTGATCAGTTTCTTGTTCAACATGAGAAATATATTGAATCGGTATTTCAATGAGTTTTATCCTGCTAATGTTCGTAAGTAACATTGTCAGTTTCCTTAAACGAATTGATTTCCAATTTTGTCTATGTTTAATCCAAACGGTTCCATATTTGAGGTAAAGAAAGAACAAATGCACAAACCGGAATATAATTTACATAAATGTTGATATATTCAACATATAAACTATTATCAATATCAGGATACATTCCAGATACATTATAGTCGACAACATATTATAAACAATGAATTAAATAATCATTGGGATAAAATATCACAAAACAAGCTTCACTTATTCACATCACAGTCATAGTTCTTCAGTGAATTTCTCTCTCATTTCTCACAACAATTCACTTTTGATATGTCATTTCAACAATCGACTCAAGTATTACTAGTGTGTATGTATCTGGCTAATTTCAAACGGTATTTATTTTTTAATGAGAAAGGATATATGAGTACCATTCTGAAATAAGTCCTACGATACTCAATAGGAATTAAAAATAAACGATGTTTTATTTATTGGTCTCTTTATGTCATTTCATTTATTGACGTGATAAAATATTAATTCACGTCGACAGAAATGTCAGCGAATAAGCCAACAAATTGCATTGATGAAGTAAAAGAAAATTTCCGATGGACAATAGAAAAGCATCATAAATATTCCAGTATAAGTGAAAGTACAGAAAATCAAGTGAGTCTACAATTTCACTAAAAACCTGTCTATTCATTGTTCTGTTTACCTATTTTGAGAATTCACGATATTGGTCTGCTTACAGATAATCGTGTTCAGATATGCAATGTGTTGTCAGTGAGAACTTCATTTCAATGATAAAACTGAAGACAATTTCATTGTTTCTAATCATGAACCAATATAATTATGTCACTACGATACGCTGTAAGCAAATTACAGTAAACAATTTTGTATTCTATTCAGATGGACTACCATTTGGTGATGAAGAGATTTACTTGTTTCATAGATAACGGTTGTCTGTTTGATCACATGAATATCTGCATGATTCTTCCTCGAGGACTATTTCCTTTGCATCGATTTGACAATAAAACAATGAACGATTGTGTTCAGTGGGCCACATTGATTTCTCTAAAGTACTGGTAGTTTATTTTGCAACATTTGTGTAATTACTTTGATTATGAGCAATATATCATTATGCATTAAATAGGTTCGCGAAATGTTCAAACAATTGAAAACGACCTTCATTAGTTCATTGTCATCAAAGTCATGGTCGAGTGAAGATGAAAAGCAGAAATCCATCAACTTGGTTTGTCCTATTTTAACTGATCAATTGAACACTAGTCCATTTGTTTTTTAGGCTAATGAGTATGAGTTGTCCATAATTACTTCAAAAAGTTTGTCGGCAGCAGATAGAGAAAGACGAGATTTCATATTCAATGTGAGTTTCACAAATAATTTATTGATTGTTGATTATTATCCTGGAACTATGGGTGAACTGAATTCGTTGAATAAAAAGGATCACTAAACGTGTTGAAAGAGATTTGCATTTTACTACCACTCTGTCCACCATATGACTTGTCTTGACGTTAACCATTAATGACTAACGTAAATACAGCGAATGGAACAGAATAATATGCATTCGTCTCATTTAGCGATTTCTCATCAACTGCTTACAATCATACTTGTCATGAGACATAACATACTGCCCAACTATAAAATCAAGCACTTGAAATGATACAGATTATCAGGACTATACATACATGTATATGTTGATGGTGGTGTATGAAGCAAACATATAGTAGACAGGGCAGTAATCACACATAATTCCGGAACTGATAAGAAGGAATGTTTAACAATTACAGAAGATTTGAATAGTTCACAATAACTCCAAGAATGCTGTTGTTGCTTAAATAGTTCGGAAACGAATGTTCTGGCTGTTGAAGCTTGTTTAGTAAAATTTCTGAATTTAACTTAGGAGTAACTGATATACACCTGTCTCTTTCTGAAAGAATACACTAGGTTTGAAAATAATATTACTCACTGCTGCAGTGAAGCTTCACGAAATAAGATTTTGTTCGTCAATTATTTCAGATGAATGAATAAGGTCAATAACATGCTGGCTATTGGTTAAATAGACAGCGATCTCAATATTTAGGGTTGATGTGTCCATTAGCCAAGGGGTTTTAGGAATGTGCTCTGAAATGCAATCATATATACATCTCAGTTTCCTTATTCCATCTATGTACTTCGTCGTAAATGTTTCAGCGCCCGCTTGCCGACTACACTATCTAGATCACAACCCTGACATTTGCCTTTTCCATTTAATGCGAAGATAAATTATCCAAAATGGTTAAAGGCGTTCGCTCAAAAATACAAATGTACATGTTCCCATTTTGATAATACTGCTGAGAATTTATTAAAACATACGTATAGTTGAAATTAGAAATTAATATTAAGAAGGACATATCATGTTACTTCAAAAACCAAATGTCAATTAGAAATTGTTCCTTGATGAAAACTGTAAAACGGATTCGATGTGGAACTATCAAGCCTTAACTAATCATAAAAAACCTTGTTAAAGAATGTTGTTCACCTGTAGAATCGTAAACGTGAAATTCACAGCATTGCATATATTTCACTACAGTCTTCAATATCTGTGCTAATTAATACTTATATCATTCTGCCTGTTTCATTTACTTACTATCCTGTTAAATACTTTTGATTTTGAATGTCTCATTGAAAAGAAGTGAAGCGCTCTGTGAAACAACATTCAATCTCATGACAGCGTAACAGTGACGCACTTGTTCTTCAAAAACTGTCAATCTAATGGAAATAATTTAACGCATCTGAAGAGACCTGAACAACTGCTACAAGCAACAATGAATAAAGTATTTAGATGGGACATATTTACGAATATTTTAAACAAAATGTTTTCATGGTGACACATCTGGAAACCTTTGCATATTTGTTTAATTGATGAATATCCTAAAGGTTCATGAAAATATCCATTTCCTGTTTCAGAATGAAATTTCCGAAGATGATTACCTAATGAATGTGTACCATTCTCAGAAAACCAAGTTCCTGAAATCAATTAAGAAACCACTGGATACTGACATGGAGTAATTTATTATTTTGAAGTATTTGTTTTACAAATTTTGAGTAGGCAAATACACTGAATAAAACATATCTTCATGGAATTAATATACTTCTAAACAAATTCAACTCTGAGCAGTAAAATACATCACATAATTAAGCTCTACACAACCAGACTCCTTGATAAGTTTAAACAGAGCAGGAACGAAAAGATTTTCAGAATAAAATGAACTCATTAATCCATATCACGTTTTCCTATCAGCTACATACAACCGAGAATTCCAGTCAATAATATAATTATTGACAAATGTTCAGTGTACTTGAGTTTCTGAAGGTTGGATTATATTGGGAACGTAATAATGAGCTGAATAGAACACAGAATGTGTGACTAAGTATAGTTAAGACTGACGTGTGTTTGTATGTTAGAAATTGATTATGTACAGTCGATTCGATTAACCATACATAACTTCTACCTTGGTTATGATCACTGGTAACCATAACACCTGTTCTGCACTACATCACTAGTTTAAATTCAATCCAGATTCTTCCAAATTCTACTGTTATTGAGATTATTCATTCTGTGATATATTTCATAATCCCTGATCGTCAGAGATTAATTGAATGTTAAGCACACCTGTAAATAGTGTAAATAAGATAAATTTCCTTCGTGTACCTCTTGAATTATGTGTGTAACTCCTGGTGATTTACTAAAAATGGACGTCATGTTATCGTAGCTCAAGAATCACAGTGAATCAATATACTATTACATCACATTATTCCACTAGCGCTTTTGTCATCTTGAACATTTCCATGACGACAAACCGTTCAACCTACTTTTAGCCATTAACGTGCGTAATACGTGGTATGCCCAATAAACTACGTTCAAAATATTCGTCCTGACTCCTATCCATACTATAATTATTGCATGGAATTTATAAATGAATCACATTCATTGTTTTGTAACGTATGAAGTCACTTTCCTTATAAAATCGTAGTTCATACAGTCGACGAAAAACAGAGCAAATGTTCAATATAATCAAAGCAAATGATTCCATGTATACATTAAATTGAGCTAAGTCAGTTTTTATTTCATTTATTATTTAAGTTTAAAATAGCCGTCCTACATTTTCGTTCACATTTATTTAGGCCTGACGCGTTCAGTTTTATTCCATACATATCTAGTTCGGTTGAAGATAAACGTATTAAAGTATCTGCCGGTCTATTAAACCCACCATATCTCGAAGAAGGATATTCAATGTCTGAGAAATATGGGACTATCGGCTGGTTTATTGGTCGCCAGCTTATGCATGAAGGTGAATTTTACATAATGTTCATTTTGCCTAAATCAGATTGTTGTCACAATTTGTTGTTTTAAACAGTTCGTGAAGTACTGAGATGTACCAATCTGTTTTACATTTCTAATCAATAGTTGAAGCGAGTTGATGAAATATGTAAAGGTGAAGTGAAGGATTACACAGGTGAGGATAACTGAATTGTATTTAGCACAACATTACAGAGTTACTTGATAAAATAGAAAAACCATATAGTAATTCGTTAATTTGCAAAATATCAATGCATCATATCAACCTCGACTGTTCCTGTTGCAATTATCAATCCATTGTCTCACATTTCATTGTTCATGCGTTTCCTTACAAATTGCATTGTGTTGCCGCTCTTCCTTTCTTGATCTTCCCCCATCTTCTGCTGTCAGACATTGCGCTTTTAACTCGCGTGATATACTACTTACATAGATATAAGTAGCACGCACCACAAGGGTACTTCCACTGATTGGTTTGAACATTGACAGTGTAAAGACTTTCATAAATGACGTAAGTAAAACTCATAATGTAACAAAGATTGTTTGATACAATAACTGCGTTTTCCATAAATAATTCAGTGTTACCTAACAAACCGAAAAGTAATGATTAACAAGTTCATTATCAAATGTTATGTAAAGCTCTCAGGAAAAACCCAATAAATCAAATTCCTTAGACCACATTTGTCTTGATAATGCTAGTATAATAAAACTCGTCGACACTTGTCACAAGTTGACATGCATCACAATTACCCATATGAAAATGTCATGATTTCTAAGACTGATGATATGCAAATCTTCTGAATACATATCCTGACACCTGATAGTTTGAAGTAAGTAAAAGCTGCTTAAAACATTATCTACATTCCCAGCATAAACTCAAATGTTTAAATTATGCTTGCTTTGCAGTAAATAATAACAAGAAAACAGATGCACCTGAGAATTCTCAGTTTGCCTGTAATTCACCAGACGCAACAGATTTTGATGCTCAACTATGCTGCTTGCAGAAACAAGAAGACTTCAAAAGATACAACGAAAAGGTAAGCGGTCCTTTAAAAGGTTGCTTTTGTCAAGGTAAAGTTTCATGTTCAACGGCTTTTCAAATATCAACCTTGAAGTTGATTGTTGATTTGTATATACCGTTATTCGTACAAAACATAGCCCACTTCAACCGAATAAGTTTAAAAACGCATTAAGTTTATTAGCTGCACATGGTCTCAAAATAGCATACCACTCATTCGGTCGACTTGCCGTTGCTGGATATAAACATCACTTACTATTTCTTATTAACTTACGAGTCTGTAGTTGTTCTTTTTTCCCTTTGAGATAAAGATGTAACTAAATAGGATTACATTAATGTTCAAAGCTGCATAACTTCAAACTACTCAGCAGACTATTGTACTATATTTGCTGAGCATTCGGTAATCCAAGCGATTCTTGTCGGATGCCAATTTTCTTAAAATTCAACAACAAAAATATTCGGGAACAAAGATCATTTAGATCAAGAACGTTTTCCAGTCATCCATTGATACCATACAGTGTTAAATGCATAACCAATTATTATTATTTATTCTCAATGACCATAAGTTACCTGAAGCACGGCAACTTACAAACATTATCAAATAGTTCGCATAGCGATATTCAATGCAGTAAACTCGTCTACGCCTTTTGGTTGACGCGTTATAACGAAAGGTTTAATGCAGAAGCAAGATAAATACAGCATAAAATTTGTTACGATAGACAGTCATTTACGATATGTCATTTGAAATTAATCGATGTTATCAACTAAGGACAGTAGTTTCCACGTCGATCATTTCTTAATTACGTTATGATTATAGTTGAAGAGTTGGAAAACTCTGAGGAGCGGGAAAGAATCCGCAATAAAATCTAATGAAGAATGAAGATCTGTCGAGTTTGTTGTGTGTTGAGAACATACCTTGTTGAATTTGTACATTTAAAGTAGTCTTGACAAGAGAATGAATGTTATAAGAATAGGGAAAATTGTTTGACAGCAAACGCTAATTACGTGTATAGACTATATTCATTTTAATTTTATATGCACCACGGAAATTTAATTGTAAAAGTGGTGAGAAAACATTTCAGAGTTCAATTTAACACGCTTCAAAACTATTTAATCAAAATCCAGATTACCTGATATATTATCACAGTTCTCATAGCCACCATATGTGTTTACTTTGCTCCTCATGTATACTAGGATTTGAGATCTTTGTCAGCTGATATTAATGGTCTCATGTTATCCTTCAAAGTAAGTAAATTTAGATAAGTTTGTATCAGTATTACTTGTCACTTAAACACAACATGTATTATCGTAAATGCTGAATTTCACCGTTGAATTAGTAACATTTTCAATTCATTGAATGATTTCCATATGAAATATTATAGTTGTTAATGTATGAATTTCATATCAAAGTGATGAATTAGACAGTGTAATTTTAACAGTAGTTTAGGCAGTAATTAGGTACAAGTATTTATAAGTAGTTGTCTTCGCAAGATACTCAACATCCATTGACCGGATACCACCAACAACAGCCTTCTCGGGGAGAGAACAAATCAGCATCCAGATGAATAAGAAATTAGGGAAAGATGATGGAAATGGATAGGAAATGCATTACGGAGATCACCAAACTGCATTACGAAACAAGCCCTAACTTGAAATCTTGAAGGGAGACGGAGAAGAGGAAGGCATAAGAACACATTACGTCGGGATATAGAAGCAGATATGAAAAAGATGAATAACAATTGAAAAGAGCTGGAAAGGATTGCCCAGAACAGAGTTGGATAGAGTATGCTGGTGAGCGGCCTATGCTTAAGTGGGCAGTAATTAGTTAGTGTATCGTTTGTATTCACACTCCGAGCAACAGATATAAAATTGTTTTACGATTAGAACTCTATTTTACAGTGAACACCAAAGAACTGTTTTGATTCTAGAAAAAAGGAAAATACAGCAACCAAGTCATTCGCATTCACTCTATTTTGTAGGTTGAATTCACATGACATATCTTGGTTAATCAATAAGAGTCTACTATTTCAGAAATGACGAACTTACAAAGTCCCAATAAATAGACTGTGAATTTCCGGTTTTTCCCATTCTTGTAGAAGTCCCTATATAGAGATCTAGATAAAGGTCTGGTCCTAAGTAATGAATGCGTGAAAATTCTTATTCATTGAATTGTTCAACCTTGCTAACTGACATACTTTTATTTCAGACATACACGGGTCGTGGAGATTTGCAAGGAAAGAACTCGTTTTACACATCGTTTGCAAAAGTATGTGTTTCCAGATATCATAAATTTCACTTTTACAAAACGTATGTATTACAAGCCCATTATTATGATGTAGAAATGTTACTTTCATTGTTCAGCGACCGACTATATAACATCCAATTCAAAATGCATATAGAATAAATGTTTACTATGATAATTACGAGAGTGATTATAGAATAATTCATGTGTATTCCTCAATCTCTGAGATTAAAATAAATCAATCATCAAGACCAACGTTTGTTTTAATAAGAATGGAAGCGTTTTAGTTGAACATTGACAATCTCGTGTTGTGACATTTGTCTCAAAAAGAACCATTTGAGAATATCTTACATATTTAATGATTTGAGAGTAGAGTTTTAACGATGAGATTTGTCAATAAATCGTCACATATATTGGGATTTCGAAGAGTCAATTAAGAAACCACAAATCAGGTAGTTGAAAACACTTTGCTTACCACATTACCAGGATTGTATTACTAAAAACCAAGCTATTTCTCACTCAATCCTATACTATATAATGAATAAATAGTATATAATTAGTGGATGGTACAATCGTATAATGCGTTTCTACTTAAACGATTACTTCTGTTATTGGCTTTATTCGTTCGAAACTCTATAGTCTAAGCTTCTTTCTAATATTCCGTGTACATTCTTCTAGTTTACAGACGTATCGCAAAAAGTATTTATTATCTTCATTGAGTTCGCTGTTCATCATTTTCTTTTTTTTCATTTGTTCTCAATAAATGAAGATGATGTGTACTAGCGACTCCACAGATGTCATTCATACTAAATTAAAGTCTGCCGACTCCGTCTATAAATTCAGGTAATTGATTTGGTCACTAATCTGTTCATCTCAATTAAAGTGTACTTTTCTCGTCTCTTTAAAACGAAGTTTTCAATTTTGGAGAAAATTATCCAATAATTCATATCTCTGAAGCATGATAACGTCAATACGATTAATGAATGACACGTATTTCATAGGATAGGTAAGCAGGACAGTCATCCGTACCATACGAATTCTAATCCTCAAGCATTGAACAGATAGTAAAGAAGTGTAACAAGCCGTTTTATCGAAGAAATATGCCACACGTTAAGCAAACTAATTTCTTGCAGTCATTACAGTTCAGTGATTGTCGTTTCATATTCAGAATATGGGTACATTTCACTCAATGTGGTTTGCCAACTGCATTATATAGTATTTCACCTTGTAATAAATTCTCCATTTCTTTCAACATACATCTCAAATGTCCACCCACCAAGGCTGTATTCTTTCCTATGCGTTAATGCAGATGTAAATATCCAATATAAAATCATCCATATCATATCTGCTTCAATGAATGAAATCCATAATTATTCCATACACTTATTCATGAATGATTAGAATAGTCTATTACGATCATACTACTTACTAAATATGTTTTGTTTCAACATTTCTCATTACCAGTGTAAATGATATTCTGAAACACAGTCAGGAATTCGCCACTACACACCAATGTGCATCTGGTTCAAAAATGAATCCTGAGAACAAATGTGTTCTTTAGAACATAGCGAAAATCATGCGTGTGCGTATGTGGAAATATCTGGTGAAGTGTGTCCGCAAATTCTTTTTAATATAAACTGTCATAGTGTAGTTTTACATGTTTTCTTTTCAACAATAAACCTCATTTTGTAACGTGAATATGGTATTGTTATATTTTGATGGATTGATCTTGACAATTCAAATAGCTAAAATCAAATCATTTTAATCTAACAGAAGAAATAGTTTGAATTATTTTCTTTCTTATAAATCGTTTTCATCATGCTCAAATATTTATCTACATTAAATTCATTTTTGTACCGTTTGTATTAGATCTTCATCACTGTTTTGTTTCGACTAGTGAAAGGATTGAAAAAAATTCGCTCTGAATATGCACATTCCAAAAGAAACTGATTCGTTTCAGTCTTTACCATCATCAACGTAAAGATTTAAAAACGTAGAAAGAAACAATGTAAAGCGTTTAACTGGAAAATGGTTATGAAAATCAGATAATCATATCGTGTAATGTAGGAGGATACTGTACAAAATTTATTGCAAGACTCCTTAAAGAGATCTGTTATATTAATTCCGTATATGGAATTTGTGATTTATGTGATTTGTTTAAGATGACTACAACGTTTCAGAAAGTAGAAAATAGAAATGTTTCCTCTCAAAACGAATGACTTACTAACATAATGAAGATCAGTATGTGGCTTACAAAGTAATAAGTGTTGATTAACTGATCAGACGGTTTTCGACCATATTCTATTTACTAACATATAACCCTGTCAAACGCACCACTCTATGCAAGTTTGGAAAAACTAGATGTCCTCTTCTCTGTGTCTTGCTCCTCAGAATTATAAAAAATGTGAATTTAGTTGTGCTTCAAACATACAGAAAATGGTTTATGTTCTCTTCGAACCCATCTGCTACTTCGACACCTTATGAATAGGCTTTGTGATATTAAATACGGTTATTCCAAGCGGTCTGTACTAAATAGTTCTATTTAGGAGATTCAATTATAACCCAAGATAAATTTTGATTACCTTTAATGTGAAATCTAGTTAATCAAAGCTTTGGTTGGAAGCTTCACACTTTGTCTAAATGTATTTCTTAAAACGTACAAAGCTAACATTTTAAAGAAACAAAAATATCCGTATTTGCATAAATTATCAAGCCCGACTATTGTCTGTAGTATCCCAAAAAATCTGTCACTCAGTTGGTATGCACATACAAATATGCACCTGAACAAGTTGTTGCACTAATTCGGCATATAAAAATGTACTCAACAAGATGCGTAATATGTGAATTTAAACGATAGTAGCATCCATGATAGCATAACACACTGAACAATGAGAGTATAATTCGAAGAATAATGAATCCATACGATGAAATGTATAGGACAATACTGAAACTCAGGATCCACAGAAAGTCATTTTTAGAAGTCCTACCGATTTTGAGCCAAATCTCACAAGGTGTGGAACCGCCAATCAGAATTATCACAATTATACTAACCTGCTAATCCGAACCGTATCAAATGATACAAGTAGCCTATCAGTCTAAGATACAGAAGAGCCAAAATTGAGTTCCCTTCAAGATATTAGATTTAAGTGAATTCATCGATTGTATCATTAATACATTACTTGAAATATACTCGTGGATCTTTCAGTCAGTTTCACAGTAACCGAACTATCTAATTCACTTCAATGCTTTTTATTTATTCCTGTGAGAGTGTCACGGATACACAGTTTTCGATTATTCAGCTATACAAAAATGTTTCCTTTACAACGGTTTCAAAGTCAAATAAACCATAGTCAACGATTAGACTACGTAGTTGTATCATTACAGATCGTTTAATAGATTCAAACATAAGGTTTAGAAATATAAGTGAACAAATCTTTGATAAACTGTTTCATTTTACAGAACCGATGAAAATAAGACTTCCTCATCTGCAAATCACATACATAAAAGAGTTTTTGGTATACCTGTTCTGTGTTCCATCGAAATGTAGTTCATATGTGCTATGAAATCTTAAGTACGGGGTTAAATTTACATCACACTTTGGCGTCAATATTTCCATGTATTACAGAAACACCAAGTTAAAGAACTAGGAATTTGTCAGCGGTTATTACACCTTTAAAATTCACCGAGTAATGAGTCAACAGTTATCATTCACAATAAATGATACGATCATAAATAGTGACTTTGGTGAACATGTTTCAAAACTCATTTGTCTTTAACGTCAACCTCGGTGATCTGGTATTGGTGACACCATGATTAATGGACGAACATTAAGAAAGTTCACCTACCTACTGGAGTTTGAAGAGCGTCATAAAGTAGTCTGAGATATTAGAGTCTACATTTAAGGTAAGAAGTTAAGGTAAGGATTATAGTAACTTCGAACTTTGTTCATTCGCGAACAAAGGACACACACAGGAGGTTAACACCCAAATACACAGTTCTAGTATTCTTATTCTCCACATTAAATTCTTCTGTAGCAGATGCCATAACTAAACTCTATCAATAAAAATACAAGTCTTTATAAAAAATGAAAAACTTCGTAAGAATAGTAAAACAGCTGGTATCCCAAACAAATATTCGAACAAAAAAGATAATTGAAACTTCAAGTAACAAATTTCTGAAATTAATGGTAATAATTAAGAACACCTGATAGGAAATGTATCAATATAGATCGGTTGACTAAAACTATTAGTGCAGCTCATTCTGAGAAACTTACCAGCATAATAAAACCAATCTTTTTGAGTTGCTCAACTTCTTATTTAACTTTTGAGAGGACAGTATATGTTACACCTCTTTTTGTTCAAAACACTAAATTTGCTTCAAATGTAAGGATAACTGCAATTTTCAACTTTGTGCATTCTCTAAAATCATCGTGAAATACTGTTTTGTGTCGGTTTAGTAATATATCCACCAAGTATTTTATCGTAATTTCTCTTTGCCTCAATATAGCTGAAGATCATGTTGATTGGATGATCTTCAAACCCCAGTATTTTTATCCAACTAAGTTTCAATAAGCCGAATTGTTGGTGCTCTGTGAAATATGATCTACTTTTCTCCTTTATTTCTTTTACAGCAATTTCCAAATGTATTTCCCTGATAATACCTGACTTTCTACCTGAAAAACTGTAAAATGACTACTGTATGGAGTAGATTGGAGACCTCCTCCTGATAAGTGCTATATCTGATTCCGTGTCAAGATAAAAGAGAGCATGATATCCAGTAATCTACGGCAAAACAAATTTTCTGAGGCTATATGAACCAGTCTGATCAAGGGCATTTGCTACTTTGGTAGAGGAGGCCTTATCTTATTGGACTGTAACTTTCCTTACTTAATTTCTTGAAACTTATAGCATAATATCTTTAAGTACCAACCAACACATAGTCAATATGAAGATGAGGGCCTACCGCCATCATTGTGAAAATCTTACGTACGAGAAACTTGACTGTAAAAGCGTGCTAGAATCGCTCGCTGTTTTCAACAATCCAGACAACAGGTTTCAGATTAATCAATCTTTTCCATTCCTTGGTCACTTTTTGTCATGCGATGCTGATGGAATGATCAAGTTCGCTAAAAATTATTTTTTGGATATCAGGGTCTTCCATTGTATGTAGCCTCTAAATAAATTCAAGTCACTCAAACTAAGCTTCTTTCATAGATAGTACGCTGGACCCCTGATATTTTCAGTTCACAATTTCCTTATTTTTTACCCGGTAATCTCTTGGTTCTTTAGTCATCCTCAAACACTGAGAAAGGATTTTAAAAAAGGGGAGCTATTCCACGAACATTTAACACAGTTTGAACGGTCTCATAGAAACCAAAGTCACGTGAATTCTTTGAAACAATAAAATAGCCATAGCGTCCACAGTCTGTTGCGCCTAACTTTCGTAATAGTGAGATGGTGGAGGAGATTTGTAATAGTATTCGTAATAATATTCTGACTATTGTGCTCTCATCCAATATGCCGAGGTCATCGTTGGACAGGTCTCCAAACTTTTTAAGCCATGAGGCAAAAGTAACACCAGCTAAACTATCAAGGTGTTATTCATGAATGGCACTGATGAGTGAATCAGGTTGATAGTCGTAACTCTTAAGGAGGCCCGTAGTTTTGTCGTCGCTTAAATCGGACGATGTTCGTCGAAGGGCTCACCATTTTAGTAGCCCGAGGATCTGACTCCAATTGGATCATACGAATGATTGTTATCGCCTATTCTCGTATATAATCGTCGACTTAATCGCGTTAGCCAATAACGGAATTAAATAAGTCGAATTACGAGAATGGACTTTT